TAGGCTATATTCAATGGGCTTAGCCCACATTCCCTTCAGAATCAATTGTTTAGTAAAGCTTGCTTATCTTTATTGGTATACAATAAGCCAGGTATCTCAAGGTTCATCATAACAAGCCTCTAGTAGAAGAAATCAAATATCCAAACTTTCCAAAGTAAATGGAGTAGATAGTACTGAGTATGAGGTCAAGCATGCAGCAGAAAAGGATTGCATGCAACTTTCTCAGATGAAATAATGAGCCACTGTCACCATCCTAAGGCTTGAGATTCCAAAGGCCCATGAGTTCTTTTCTAGATTAAAAGCCCATTTCAATCTTTTTATTTAAAAATGCATTAACAGATTTCTTTAATTACTCTCTAAAAAATGAACATTTTTTCCAAATAGAGGACAGCTCAATCAATCTTGCTATCTAAAGAGGCAGCGTTCTCTGTTCAGTCATTTCCTTCTTAATAGTGATGCATTTTCCTTCCACCCACCACCTGCCTCACAAATACACTATCTTCCAACTTTTCAAAGAGGAAAATCAGGTCAAATGTAGCCAAACAACATCAGTATGTGGTCAAGATGGCAAAATTTGTTAATGAGAAAGAACAGACAAGCTAAGAGAGTTTGCAGCTGTTTGCTTTTGCCTGTGTCTACTGGGAAGGGCAAGATTTTGCCCCTCCTCCCCTATTCCCCCCTTTTCTGAATTAACTGAGTGCAAACTACTTTTGAACCTTGACTGCAATTTGCAGTAAATGAAGTAAGGCAAGGATAAGTGTAGAAAATGGAAGGAAGAGAGAGAAACGGGCAATGCAGAACAGCAAAGGATTAACCAGGTCTATTCCAGCCAAAGTGGATATACATTTACACTGCAGGAATACTGTTTGACACCACTTTAATTGCCATGGCTCCATTAAACAGAATCCTGGTATTTATGGTGGATCCATCTTGGATCCACTTTGACCTCACCAGTGGCAAACCAATGCGCTGTGGTATAACTGAAATGTCTGCTGTAGCAGTAAATTCAATTGCAGCCTGGCATCAACAATGATAGGAGTACGGTGGTGCCAGAACTTGACAACATTGCTTTTTTGGACTGAAGTGACCAT